TATTATTATTATTATTATTATCTGCCCTGTCTCTACCTCTTGTCTTTTTCCCTCCTACAGAGGGCGGTAAATGTAAGACACTCCCACAGATAACATCACATCCAATATGTCATGGGAGTTAAAACTGTACACACCCCATAGTACTGTAATGAGATTTGTTCAGGACAAAGAAACAGACAGGGCTGCCCATCAAGAATGAACCAGGCAGGCAGGCAGGCAAAGCAAGCAAGCAAGCAAGCAAGCAGTTCCCAAGTGAAGGAAAATAATCCTGAAGTGGAAGGGAAGTAGAAAGGTTCAATTCGAGTCTCCAGCGACATCATGTAGATCTGTTAAACTAATCTGAATCAATGAGCGATGGAACCACCTCTTCAAAAGGAGCAAATAGGATGTGTGAATGAGACCAGAGCATTCCATCTGTTGGGCTCCTTGCTCTTAGGATTGCACCATTCATTTTCTGTTAAACTATAGACATTCTGAAGGGTTATGAAACATCCGGGGGATGGGTGGGCAGGAGGTCATCTCTCTATCTAATGTATAAAGATCTATATTATTGACCTTTTGTCCTACAAGACAGCCCATAAATATAGTTATGGTAGAATCACAACACAATTGCATCAACAAGAAGCAGAGAGTATTAAAGAAAACAACATCAACAACCACAACAGGACAAAATTAAGTACATAAAGAAAGTCAGATCAAGCCGAGTGTCTGGCAAAAAGAAAATGCCTTCCAAACTTTCATGGTGGCCATATTAGAGTGAGCCACAAGGACACGGTGACCGAGAAGGCCACAGCTTATGTCACAGACAACTGAACCTCAAATGGTGATTGAAAAAAAGAGCAAGCTTTTCTCCATGCTGTGGCCACAGCATCCAGAAAGCTAATATAGTTGCATTTTTCTATACAAAAAGCTTTTAACAGAATAAATCTCTTTAATTCAGTCCCAACGTCCAGTTTCCCTCTTTCTGGCCATTTTCACATCCTAAGAGCCTCACAGTCTAGGTGCCCCTTAAAATAATAATTAACATTCCCAGTGATTAGTTCCATATGTTTACCATCTTCTGGAGTGATCTCTACAGCTGGAAACCAACATGGCTGTCAGTAAAAAACTTGTTCCAAAAATTATAATATAGGAACAAATAACATATTTGCTAAGAGAGCACAGCCAAAACCCCAAACCAAAAGGCACCATTCATTATTTTGAAGGACAAAGATATCAAAAGGACAAAAGAAAAACACTTTGTCTAAAAATATCTGTCTTTGCTGAGACAACATATGGGTTTTGACACACAATTAAACAGAGCATGGTTCCCCCAATGTTGAATGAATATTCTTCCTTTCTTGCAACAGGTGACCTCCATGTTTAATGCATCTCAAATACATTTGTTATTATTTATATTTTTTATTGTGGGCAATCTGGCCTAGCATCTTTAAAACTCAACTAAAGCACCAGATGTGATGCAGGAAACAGAAAACCAGAAAGCAGACTGTAAATCACAACAATAACATACATCTAATGACAGATATGCCATGGAACCAGGCTCAAAAAAGCTCTGCTGTTGATTTTTATGTTATTCCTTCTCCCTGTGGGGAACTGGAGAAATGGAGAGTTTGATTTGGTGTGCTCTCTTTATTGTTTTAGATTCAGAGCAGAGCACGGGGTCAGACACTGAAGTGCTGGCGGAGAGAACCTCCTGCTCCTTCGGCTCCCATTCAGACCTCACGTCCGGCGGCTCAGTCTCTCAGCAACCTCCTGCCTCATCCATGGAGGACATCCAGGTGGAGTTGCAGTGTGCTGATCTCTGGAAGAGGTTCCACGATATCGGCACAGAAATGATCATCACTAAAGCAGGCAGGTAAGATGGCTGTAGCCCCTCTGCACCAGTCTGTGGGTTCCGATGTGCAGTTGATTTGATGAAGCAGAAACAGTGTCGGAGTTCGGATTTTGCATTATCACCGTCTTTTCCCAAGGAGTTGCTGGTGCCCTTCCTTTGCAAACATGGTGGCCGAGGGCCAACACTTCCTAAAAGCATATTTTGAATAGATGTGACCATGAAATATGAATCCTCAGTGTGCATTAAACACCCGTATTTCATTCTTCAGTTCCAGCTAGTGCTGTAGCAAAACAACTGTTGCTATATGATACACTTTGAGGGTTCCCCTGAACAGAGATCTTCTTATCTATGAAAATTTCCGGAGCGTGCACAGCTGTGATAGTCAGAAAAAAAAATACACACTTTGTGGCACCCCTAAGTTGAAAAAAGACCACGTTTTGTATAACTTTTCATAAACTGCTACACAGACATGCATTCTAACAAAATACAACATGTTACCTTTTTAAGTCCCACAAAGAGATTTCTTCTGCTCTTTTTTTTTCCTGGTGTAATTTCAAAACGTTAATTATTTTTTCATTCATGTTGGTATCTTGTCACTGCCTTAAAAGTGATAAAAGCTGTCATGAGATGTTTGCCTTCTTTTATTATCTGAAAGTTCACCCAAGCATGGGAAAGGGATCACAGATCAGCTGGGGGGGGGTTGTATTTCACCCCTACATTGTTGAGGAAGACAGTGTCTCCTCGCTCTAATGAGCCACCTGTACCATGCATTAGATTGTTTTTAAATGAAAATTACAGCTAAATAGTTCCGGGTGAGAATATCCTCAGAATCAAAGAGAATGGGTAAATAGATAACATTCAAAATTGTGTACGCCTTCACCATTAAGAGTATGTGAAGCAGAAGCTTACTCACTGTAGTTGAGAGGTATTTTCATCATATCACAAGACTAAGGAACATGGGGTGGGGCAGGGCAGAGGAACAAAGGGGTCCTGTTGGGTCTTGTAGCACAACCGTCATTACACAGTGCTATCAATTCCCTGCGAACAGTAGCCCTTTTTGGAAGGGAGGTGCTACAGCTGGCAGCTCATTAAGATTTTGCGCAGCTGGCCGGTAGCCAATGAGCATGGTTTCCTGCTAAAGTTCCAACAGCCATAAAGGTGAGAGGCAACTGTATGCCTCACAAGTATTTAAGACATGGTGATTACTGTTAAGTTATTTTGAGGCACACTCTCTCATACACTCTGTGTAGGGAGAAGCCCGTTATTGCTCACTAGCCCTGATGCTAGATTGTCCAGTTCTTAGGGACAGTGACTCAGTCACAGTGGAATGTGTCTCATAAGGAGCATTCCCTGTCACATACAGGCCTCCTTATCACACACATATTGTGCCCCTAACAATACTAATGAGTATATGCTAGGCTCTTATAAAGAAATTTGTTCTTATGAATATATCCATAATTTTTTGTAATAGATGCAACTGGATGCACAGATTTGTTATTACATGCCATCAACTCACTTCAGACTCATGGTGACTTATAAAGTCATATGAAATATTTAAGAAGTGGTTGTATCATTGCTACGGCCACGATGAGTTTCCATGGCTGAGTGGGATTTTGAACCCATATCTTCTAAGTCATAGCCCATCACTTTATCCATTACACTGCACTGGGTGAAAGACACAGAAATACGCACTTTAACTCTTCCTTCCTAGCTGCTGAATGTGTGCTCAGATAAGATCTTTGATAACATCCTGCTTTTCAGGGCTCTACAGCCTTGTTTAACGAACAAGTAGACTTCTAGTCAGTCTGAACTGGCCTGAGACCACAAAGGGGACACTGTAAATTTGACCAAAATTTGTGTAATACTGGTGAGAACCAGTGTGGTCTAGTTGATGAAGTGTCAGACTAGGACTCAGGAAACATGGGTTCAGATCCACACTGGGTCATGGAAACTCAGGGTGTGATAACACAGCAAAAAAGAGAGAAAAGAATGAATTTGCTGCAAAGTTGCACCATGGAAGTAGCATTTCCCTGAGTCAATTTGCTTCAGCCAGGCACACAGAGGTTAGCAGAGAGCAGGTAGGAAATCAGCCTTGTTTGCAGCTTGTTAAACAAGGGTCCAATCCTCCATAAACATGGAGTGGGGAAAAAGTGAGGAATAGGGAGGAGGAAAGTTATCACTTCAGCCTTGTTTCCAGCTTGTTAAGGTAGCTCTACTGTGTAGATTTTGCAGGAAGTGTAGTCAGAGCAGAGCTACCTTAAAACTTCATCTTCAGTCCTTGCTCTTCTTTTTTCGTTAATTTTCTTTAATTGCATAGTAACTGCTTTCTATGTATTTTGGAGTAGAAAGAAGGAAGAGTGTGGAATACGGTGACCTGAGTATACAGTGGTCCCTCGCTAGACAGTTACCCCGTATGACAGTTTTTTTGCTAGACATTGACTTTTTGCGATCGCTATAGCAATTCGCAAAACAGTGATTCCTATGGGGGAATTTCACTGGACAATGTTTGGTCCCTGCTTCGCTAACCGATTTTCACTAGATGACAATTTTGACAGTTCCCTCTGCGCTCACAAAACAGGTGTTTTTGGGACCTAAGCTTCGCAAGACAGTGATTTAAACAGCTGATCGGCGGTTCGCAAAGTGACTTTCCTATGGCTGATCTTCACTAGACAACGATGATTCTTCCCCATTGGGATGCATTAAACAGATTTCAATGCATTCCAATAGGGAAATGCTTTTCGCTAGACAATGATTTCGCTAAACAGCGATTTCAGTGGAATGGATTATCGTGTAGCAGGGCACCACTGTATTATGAGCTGTTTAGAATTATTCCACTTAGCCTGTCTATTTCCACTTCCTCTCTCTATCAGTTGACAATGGGCAAACAGGTGTGTGAGAAATGGGCATTGGTGCCATAAAGGAGAGAGGACAAGGAATGTGAAAATGTTTTGGATAAGAAATTTTAATTGTAGCTGATTTAGTACTGATGAGCAGAAGATCTCCACAGATGTCACAACCAGCCCGAATTACAATGTTTTCCAACAGATAAGGTTATAATAAAGTAAAAGTTCATATCCTGGCAGAGCCTTCCGAATGGCTTAAATAGACTGGTATTTTAAAAACTGGTTTTGTATATTCTGGCTACTTTCCATTTTAATTCTAATTAACTTTTATTTTTATGTGTAATCAGCACTCTGGACAGAGCAAGGGCTCATGAAAAATGCCTCTGGGTTATAATAGTGTTCAGTTGTATAAAGAAGGGTTGAAGGAAAAAAAGATTTACTTTTCCCTCACCCTACCCCCCTGTTTATTTTTGGTTTGTGAGAATGTGCTTGTGATGTTGAGTAGTACAGTATTATAGAGTCCTGATAAGCAAAAAATAAAAATAAAAAAATGAAAAAATAAAAACATTAAAAAAAATAAAAAATAGGTGGAGAAAGTGTTCATAGTTTATATTTCAGAAATTTATTAAAACAAAGCTCATCTCTTTCCATATCTAACTCTTTGTGAAATACATAGAACTGCCAGTAATATTCCACCTCCCTTAATTGTTGTGGAAGACATAAGATGTTTTGTAATTACTTGTGCTCTGGGGAAAGGGAAGACACTGCACATGGATAGCCATGATTTCCTTGTACACAACAAATGGAAAACAAAACGAATACTTGTGGCACCTGTAAGATTGGAAGATTTGCCTCAGTGTTTGCTTTTGTGGATTCCCATCCAGTCTTTCAGATGTGTCTGATGGATTGTCATCCGCAGAGGCTCATAGTGAAATAAATCTTCTTGCCTTAGAGCTGCCACAACATTTTGGCTTTGTTTTGTTTTGTGCTTGTCATACTTGCTGGAGAATACCAACAGGGTGCCCTTCACCGAGGCAAATATCTTTGAAAAATAATTCCCAAAGTTAGAGAATAAAGCACATTAGTTTTCAAGAAATCACATTAAAATCAGTGGGGGAGGGGATGGAATCCTTCACCTCGTTTTGGGAAAAGTATGGAGGAGACAGCACTTTTGATGTCAGTATTCCAAATGTCAGCCTGGGTCACTTGAGGTGTTAAAAAGACACGATAAACTTTATTCTTGATTAAAAAGCTCCACACATTTTGGTGAATGGCCTCCTTCAGCTTAACATAAAAATAGAAATAAATTAGTCTATAAACAGCAAGCAAGGGACAACTGCACGTAATATAGTATTAGTGAATATGCACGCAACACAATCTTCTAATATGGATTGACAGCAACATTTTGATACATCCTAAGCTTTTAAAACAAGTGGTAAAATAAGGGCAAGACATCTGTTTCTTCCTTAAGCCCCAAAGAGGTCAGAGTGTTCAATCTTAATACCCAGTCAGTTTCTTTTCTCAGTAAGGACATCCTGAGACCCAGTCTCTCATTTGAAATTCTGCCACAAGTGGATGTACCAGTTTCCTGTTTTCTCCTTTTGGTGTTAGTGTCAGGTTAACAGGGACCTTCAAGGGATCACAGGAGGGTCTAAAGTCAGGATGTACAATATATGTCTCTATTATTTCCATTTAATTTTCTAATTTGGGGGGGGTCTCAAATTCCCCATGGAAGGTCTGTGTATGGTTTAGGATATCCTTGCTTGTCCTGATAACTTCTACACCCATGGGATTCTTAAGGAATTTTCCTTCGGAAAAATGCAGCTGTGCAAGCTAACACACCGTGTGGCTAGTGCAGGCATGTTGAGCTACGCTCTGGATGGGAATGCGCCAAAGGAATGCCCACGGCACGGGAATGTATATCCCACTGGGAGTAATGCAATGCTGACAGACCTTCACCCTCATACTGCTTCCTTCCATTCAGCCAGAGTGTGCAGTTGCTTGGATTTTTCTTTCTTTTCTTGATGCAAAGAAAATCAGGTAGAATCAGATGGAGGAAACGTGCAAGAATATTTTGCAAACCAATGGGCCGCCTGTGTTGCTTAGAAATTGAAATAAAAACTGACCCACAATGTTTGCACACAATCACCTGCTAAAAATATAGGGGAAAGGAAGAGA